ACAAAAACATTAAAAAATAACATACAAATGTTCATTTGCGAAGAAAACATGCTACCATTTATGGCAAAAATGTTTATTTGAAATGGTTTTGAATGTAACTTGGTTAATGGATGAAGCCATCTGATATCCAGTTCTTATCGCACTTGTCGACTCTATATAAGTGTAGCTAATAACTCTTATTTATAGTCACATTTGAATTAAATGATAAACCAATATTTTTTGCCATTGCGCTCATAACAGATACAATGTAAGTGTCTTCGAACTATGAAGTCATTTCGTTCACAGTAAAATATAATTCACATTAAATCTCATGAAGAAATGCATTAAATTCCATGTGCAAGGAACTCGAGGACTCCTAATACGTTGGTTCGTTCTTATTCTTCTTTGTGCCTTGTCTCCCCCCTCCCCGGGATGTTAACAATCATGGCTCTCCTTTAAACAAATTTTCCATTTTACCATTTGTCTTATCTATAAATATTTGTGTTGGTTCTTAATAATTTTGTCTTTTTATTTGATCTCTCTTTTTCAGTTAACAGAATATGCAAATTGGCCCCTTTTTTTTTCTGTCCCTTTTTGTTTTTTTTTTTTACCTGGAATCTCAGCTTCAGTCACTTTCCCACTGTCATACCATTTGTCTTATCTATAAATATTTGTATGGTAATTGTTCTTATGAGCTATCCTCATTGTTAGGCAAGGTTAGGTTTCCTTTTTTTGATGCTTTAGTTTATAGTTAAGACAGAAGAAGACCGTTTTCCCCCAATCCCCTTTTCGGCCTTAACTTTTTAAACAGAATAAATATCGCTATCCTCATTGGGTTTGTTTTATTTGCTTTTTCATTAACTTAGCTAGGGTTTGTATGCTCATTGGCCCCTTTTATTTCTGTCCCTATTTTTCTTTAAGTTTAATTCCCCATCCCCTCCCTCGTTAGGTGGTCAGTGATGTCAGTTCGTTGGTGGATGCGGGGCGCCTTTCGTTTTGCGTGCGTGTTTTTTCGTATTTATTGTGCTCGAATGAGGGCGTGTCAGTATTAGTGTTTCGAATGAATGAATGTTTTATATTATTATAGTCCCGCATTGATTTCGGCCAATGAATTGATATTTCTGCCACATTTAGTAATTGTGGAGTGTTTTATTACTAATATTATTTTCTTTAGTTTCTTGTAAATAGTTTTTTGTATTCATATTTGTAAATACTCATTGGGGCTAGTTTTTAGAATTGTTGTTTTATTCCCCTCCCTCCACACAGACAATGAATTGTAAATATGGGGACTAGTTAGTATTTTCATAGTGACAATGAGGTATTATGGTGATTGTAGTAAGAAAGGTACGAATGAATGTGTTGTTTTGGTGTATGGAATATTGTTCGTACGATTGGGTCAGTGTTTGCGGCTAGCTATGTTATAGTTAAGACAGAAGAAGACCATCCTTTCCCCAATCCCCATTTTCGGCCATGTGCCACATTTCTGTATTAAACAGAATAAATATCGCTTTCCTCATTGGTATCTTGACTTAACAAATTTAAGCATCATACTAGATTAGCAGTTAGTTTTTTTTTAATTTCCCCATGCAAGTTGTAGGCATAAATTCTATGCTCATATTTTCTTTTCTTTCACTTCTTGCTTGTAGAACTCTCTTCTGGCTTCCTACTTTCCAATGAAAGAACTATAATGTTCAAAAACATAAATGCAATATCACTAATCATCTTGTTTTCTTGACCCCTGCTCTTTTAGTGTCTTATGTTTCATTCATTCTAAGTAGTCCCTTGCAACTGGGTTAATTTTATTGCCTTGCTTGTGGTGAAATAACTAAAACAAAAAAGAAATATCACAAAAGCTCTCATTCACACATTAGCTGCAAATGTTATTGGAATTGTTGTCTTTATATGACCTTTTGATTGTATTATCACTTGTATCTATTTTAAGAAATAAGTTACACATTGCATGCCCTATAAAATTTAGTCTATAAAAATAACAATATCTTAATCTATTACGTTAAATATATGATTGATTTCAGTTATAATATGTAACATTTGGAGGATGCAGTGTAATAATACCTGAAACTTGGTTCTACAGAAGCATCCTTCTTTATAACCAAATTCCTGTTGCCTCTAGTCTCTTCTTAATCTTTGAGAAGATATTCAAGCATTCAGTACCATAAAAGAGGACCTGTATTATACAACAGTTCAGTACTTTTTTACTTCGATTTTAACGAAATGTTCCGATTTCTTAATCTTCTGTTTAGCTTTCGAAAGGCAACTTGCTGTATATCCAGATATGTCTTCGGATTTCGGTGTTGCACTAAATATTAACTTGGAAAGAAGTTCCTGTCACGTTTTTAGATAGCAAAGAAACAAATGATTATTTTTCTTAATTGATATATTTAATCAAAATAATATTACCTCTCATTGGCAATAATATACAAGTCTTTCCATTCGGCAAATTATTGAATATCCGGACGTAAAATTCTTCGGCCTTCCACGCAAAGAATTACTGAAAATAACTTTTAACGTCTACATAATTAATAAACTTATAGTTTCTAAAAATGTTGCAGTAATTTAAAAAGATTATAACAAGGTGAGGAGGGTAAGGATGATGTAAAATGAAACTTCCATATTTAGTGATGCAATCATTTCATTTTCGACTCAATTAGTATGTGTTCTTACGCTATAGTTTAAGACCAACAGGCTGTTTTTAACGACAGGTCTTAGATGTTTTTATGACAACAATAACTCTCTACATTAACTATTTTATTTTGGTTTAGTACTTCTTGATAACCAACTCCCTTTATATCCGATGAACAAACAGATTATAACTTTTCAGGTGTGGTCTTGGCATTTTTCTTTAGAGCCATCTTTATGTTGACTTTAGTCTCTTCTTAATCTGTGAGATGATTGTTCAACATTCAGTACCATAGGATGACCGTTATTACATAATAGTTCATTTAAATCTTCTTCGATTCTAACGAAATTGACCTGTTTCTGTATATTTTGTTTAGCTTTTGAAAGAGATCTTTCGATTTATCTCAACATACCTTCGAATCTTGGTGTTGAACTAAATATTAAATTGGAAATAAAATCCTGCTGCATTTGACGATGAAAAAAAGAAACATGATTTTTTTTCTTTCTTGATATATTTAATGAAATATACGAATTTCCCAAGTCCTCTGTCCTCCATATGTGCTTTAGAAATTTCAAATGTCTCTCTATGATATAATGTATGTGTCATGTTTGTTTGCATTATGTTCATGCTTGCTTAGACATTCAGCCCATAGAATTCTCAGCATCATTTAAAGACTTTTCTTCATTTGTGAGAAGATTGTCCAGCATTTACTGTTATATAGGATGATCGTTATTATATAAAAGTTCTGTAATCTTTTTTTCGTTTCTAATGAAGTTTTCCTATTTCTTATTACTTTTTTTTTAGCTTTTGAAAGGCGTCTTTCGCTATGCCAATATGCCCTCGGATTTCAGTGTCACGTTTTCCTTCCCCTGTTACAACACTTGCCAGATATTTCAAATTGTTATATTTGCTTGATTTTAGTATTTCTAATTTGTAATTTTTATGTAGACTGTTCATTTTGCTAACAACCATTTACTCCGTCTACTTACAATTGATTCTTTCTTCTCGCTATTCTTTACTATCTTCTGTATGAGTTCCTACAGTTTCCGTTTTACATAGCATCTATAAAAAACTTAACTGTCCTGCTGAAAGAAGAACAGCTTTACTTCTATTTTCCACAGTAAAATATAGAATACTCGAATTTTGATAAATGCAACGTCTAGAGCTGTAAAATCAGGAAGTAAGCTATCATTACTCTGCCTATATTTTTTTTTTTGTTGTCCGTGAATTGACGGATATTCTTGCAGAAGTGTGTAGTGTTGTTCTTCGTTTCCATCTCCACGGATTTCAGTTGTACTCTTAGACTGGTTAAACGATTTCCATTGAACTATTAGACTGGTTGTACGACGTACGGTATGGTCTACTAGTAGGCTTTCATATAGCAACTCGGTTGATTTACAAAATAATTCGACGATTTCATACAGCATGTTTGTACAGCCATTCATGTTCTCCGCGAATACACACGCAAACATGCATGCATAAATACATACATACACATACACCCAGATGGGCGCACGCGCGCTCATCACACACACACACACACACACACACACACACACACACACACACACACACACACACACATATATGTATATATTACTTTAAATGTTATTTTTAGTGGTTAGCCATATATGAGCAGACGCTACGTTTATGTTAGATCACATTAAAAAACAACCCGGTTTCCAACAGGACTTTCTTTTAATAAGATTTCACTAATCTTCGGAAAGGTAGACGAAATAAAATACTGTTTGACATAAACGGAGAGTCTACTCAACTATGGGTATCCCCTAAAAATAATATTTGAAGTAATAAAATTATGTTGGATGATAAAATAAAGAAATTCATCAATTCTTTATACATATATATATATATATATATATATATAATTGATTTATCCGACATTTCTTACTTCAAGTATTATTTTTAGTGGCTACCCGTATCTAAAATAGACGCTCCGTTTTCATATTTAAACAGAGTTTATTATATTACGTTTAACACTTTGCGCATTCGAGAAATGTTAATAAATAATATGTGCTCTCCAATATTGTCTTTATTAAGATTTCTTGAGTGTACAGACCAATCGATCTAATACACACTGTTTCAAAATAAAAAGAGGTATCTATTTCGGATACGTTTATCCAATAAGCATAACGCTTGAATTAATAAAAAAATATTTGTGTGTGTCTGTGTGTTAAACCAGTAAGACCTTAACTTGTTTATTTTGCACAATCTATATTTGGTCATAAATTGCTTCTTTCCAACGTCCTTATTTAACGGGGGATTTGAATATCCAAGATCGTTTCATGGAAATTTCGGATCCATATTCAATTGATAACATTCGGCTAAAGAGATATTGATCCCACTTCATAAATTTATCTAATTAATGTCTTATCTGGGATTAATATCTGGTGCTTCTAATGTGTACAATCCAGAAATTATACATGAGCAAGCTCATCCTTCGTTTTTTTGTATCATGTAAATTAGCAAATAACACGCACACTCATGGGCATGCACATGCATAAATATACGCGCGCACATATACGCATATGGTGAAAGGAAAAGCAAATAACAATATCGGTTTTAAAGTTAGGGGATAGCATAAAGTCGAATAATTTCGCAATACAGTGTAACCCGGATATAAGAGAGTTGTCGGGACCAGAGAAAACCTCTCTTATATCCGGGTTTCACTTATATCCGGGTCTCTTATATCCGGGTTACACTGCATAAACAAACTGATTTGTGCGTGCTTAAGTGCAAACGTTATCAGTATTAGTCCGCTCCCCTAAATGCTACTGTTACAATTAAGAAACAATCTTGAAAGTTCTCAGAAATTCAATTCATCTCGTCAATTAATCGTATTTTGTTTATTTAATGGGTTATTTAATGCCAACAAGATTTTTATTGGTACTATTTTTTTTAAATATATTGCTGTTAATACATTTTTTCACAAAAATAGGTAGATGGTATTTTTTTTTCAAAAACGTATTGCTGGTGATATTTTTTCATATAAAAATGTATATGTCTGGTAATATTTATTTTCTCCAAAAATGAATTGTTGGTAACATTTATTTCCTTCAAAAATGTATTGCTTGTAATATTTTTTTTCCTTAAAAATTTATTACTGGTAATATTTTTTTTCTTCAAAAATGTATTGCTGTTAATATTTATTTCCTTCAAAAATGGAAAGCTGTAAATATTTTTCCTTCAAAAATGGATTGCTGGTAATATTTTTTTTCCTTCAAAAATGTATTACTGGTAATATTTATTTCCTTCAAAAATGTAATACCGGTACTATTTTTTTTTCTTCAAAAATGTATTGCTGGTAATATTTATTTCCTTCAAAAATGTATTGCTGGTAATATTTTTTCATTCAAAAATGTATTGCTGGTAATATTTTTTCATTCAAAAATGTATTGCTGGTAATATATACTTCCTTCAAAAATCTATTGCCGGTAATATTTTTTACCTTCAAAAATGTATTGCTGGTGATATTTATTTCCTTCAAAAATGTATTACCGGTAATATTTATTTCCTTCAAAAATGTATTACTGGTAATATTTATTTCCTTCAAAAATGTATCACTGGTAATATTTTTTTTCTTCAAAAATGTATTGCTGGTAATATTTATTCATTCAAAAATGTATTGCTGGTAATATTTTTTCATTCAAAAATGTATTGCTGGTAATATTTTTTCATTCAAAAATGTATTGCTGGTAATATATACTTCCTTCAAAAATCTATTGCCGGTAATATTTTTTACCTTCAAAAATGTATTGCTGGTGATATTTATTTCCTTCAAAAATGTATTAATGGTAATATTTTTTTTCTTCAAAAATGTATTACCGGTAATATTTATTTCCTTCAAAAATGTATTACCGGTAATATTTATTTCCTTCAAAAATGTATTACTGGTAATATTTATTTCCCTCAAAAATGTATCTCTGGTAATATTTTTTTCTTCAAAAATGTATTGCTGGTAATATTTATTCATTCAAAAATGTATTGCTGGTAATATATAGTTCCTTCAAAAATGTATTGCTGGTAATATTTTTCCATTCAAAAATGTATTGCTGGTAATATTTTTTCATTAAAAAATGTATTGCTGGTAATATTTTTTTCCTTCAAAAATGTATTGCTGGTAATATTTTTTCATTCAAAAATGTATTGCTGGTAATATATACTTCCTTCAAAAATATATTGCTGGTAATATTTTTTCCTTCAAAAATGTATTGCTGGTAATATGTATTTCTTTCAAAAATGGTTGCTATAAATATTTTTCCTTCAAAAATAGATTGCTGGTGATATTTATTTCCTTCAAAAATTTATTGCTGGTAATATTTTTTTCCTTAAAAATGTATTGCTCTAAATATATTTTTTTCTTCAAAAATGTATTGCTGGTAATATTTATTTCGTTCAAAAATGTATAGTGTTTTGTATCCACTTTGAAATTTACCTATTTGCCCATAGCTGGGGCCTTAACATGTGTTTTTTTTTCCCCAAAAAACTTACTGCTGGTAATTTCTTTTACCCACAAAATGTACTGCTACAAACATATACTTCTTTTTTAACCGAAAATGGACTGCAGGTAATATTTGTTTTCAATGTTTTATTAATTAATTATTAATGTATTTTTGGTAATAAATTTTCTTTAAAAAATTGATTGCTAGTAATAATTTTTACCAAAATGTATTGCTGGTATTAAAATCTATTTCTACACTTTTATAGTGTTTTGGCCCCTAGTTTCGTGGGGAACTATTTTCCCATAGCTGCGACACTAACAGCTGCTACAACCCCTAGTCAGGTTGGACCAGGGAACACCAGCAATTAAGAGATGGTTCCATTGTTAAAAATTATCTTGTACTTATTGCGTTGAAACTCAGACAAGGAACCACGTTCGTTGATAGGCTGCAGTTTCCTTTAGTTAAACGCTTAAATATTATCCTTTGGCCGTATCATTACGCATGAGTGAAGAACAAAACAATTTCTAGCCATAAACCAGATTTTATTCTTACGTAGTAACTTACTGCTATAAGCGAGGTAGTAGGGTTGAGGCGTAAGTGAGGTAGTCTATGTTCGTTTTGCGATGCCTGTTTTGTTCTTTCTGTTTTCCATTTCTCGGGATGGTCAGATTTAGAAACAACAGTTTTCTTTGTCCTGGCATCTTCGTCTAAAATATTAATTAATCATCCTTCCGTCACTTTCTATCAGTCTGAGCATCTGGCTCATGTACTTTGAAGTTGAATCCACTTACGGATAACCATCGGTCGGAAATGAATGTTCCGTATCGAGGTGTGTGACAGGTCCCACTCTTTTTAAATTTGATAAGTCCTCAAATTGAATCTTATAGCTACGTGATATTCGACACTCTCTGGTTAATGACATTAAATTTAGATTCTTCTTTTACGATCTGCTGCCAACTAAAGGCCACCCACAACGGTAATGATATGAATTTAAGCATTATTACGTGCTGCATTAAACGCCACTAATTAATACTTTGGCATTTTTACAGATAATCCAATAAATAAATAATTTAAATGACGATTTAAAGAAGATTTTCTGCTGCATAAATTTGATACTTTTATTTCAGGCTTTCTTTAAAAATCCTTTTTTTTTTCATAATATTTCGTTATTGTTTATATATATAGTTTTTTTTTATTTTTTTTATTTGCTTAATTCTCTTTTTTTTTCGTTATTTAGTTGTTTTTTTCTTTCTTTCCAACATTATATTCTTTTCCTTGTTTCTTTTTTATCTGCTTTGATTTATTCCTTTATTTTCTTTTACTTTGCTCGTTCCTTTTTGCATTCGTTGACTCTTTCATTATCTCTATTTTATATAAGATTCTTTTCTCTTCGTCTGTATTTTTCTGACTTGATATTTTTCACCCGTAATATAGTTTCTCCATGTTCATTCCTGTCAACGTCTTTTCTATCAATGCATATTTAATCATCTTCTTTCGACTCTATCAGACTTTTTCACTCTAACTTAATTTTCAATATTTTCTTTCATTTTTCATTATCTCTTTCGCACTCG